CACACACACACACACACACACACACACACACACACACACACACACACGAATGACAACAGATTGGACATTTCCCGGAAACAGGTTTGAGCAGAATAACAAGGCCTGGACCTTGTCCTCAAGCACAAGGTTTGAGGTCGTGGGCGACTAGTATTTTGGCAAAGGAACTAGTGGCTACAAGTCTTTTTGTTTGTTTGTTTTGGTACCGAGGATCAAACTCAGGACCTTGTACTTGTGAGGCAGGTGGCAGAACCGCTGAGCTAAATCCCCTGCCCCTGGCTGACTACTTTCGCAGCACTAAGCAAAGGAGAGCTTACTTCTGATGTCACACTAGGCAACAGAGGACTTGTGCCAGGCACGCATGGACTGTGAGCTTGGAATTCACACTTTGCATGAGCACAGGATGGGCAGCACCAGCTGCAACGGGAGGAGGCCCTTTACGCAGCTCTGGCCAGCATGGGACAGAGCTTGGCTGGAAATTCCTGGTCACTCCTGGCAACACAGAGGGATGCTGGGTGCCCAGCAATCCTTGCTGCCTTGGGAACAACAGCAAGGTGTCGGAGATGATAGAATCCCAGCCCTGGAGCGGAGGGGGAGACCTCACCCTCCTCCACAGGATCTGAGTGTCCACACTGCTACAGCTGTTTAGCACAACCTCTGGGCACATTCTGAGAAGGGAGGCAGGCGTTTCTAGCATTCTCAACATAGAAACCCACAGTTAGTCCCACGCATGTAAATGTCCATGCTGCTGGGAAACATGGAGCCCCTGGAGCGCTCTCTCACAAGGCACACAAAGGTTTATGCTTGCACCTTTGTAGAAAAATACTCACTGGAGCACGCTTTCCTACAGAGCTCCTTTCTGGAGAAGACTGCCCTTCCCAGGCTACCAGCCATGCAGCTGGATCAGTGTGCTTGCCTCCAAGTTCCTTTACTTTCCAAAGACCCCTTGCAGGAGATGTTTCCCAGTGCTCTCCGAGGACCAGGGGCCAAAAGCTCTGTCCCCAGCCAGGAAGCTTCCCTCCTGAGGAGTCCGGTCCTCAATCAGGATCTGGGAGACTTGAGGGTCCCGGAAGCCAGGGACCTGCATGCCAGCCGCCCTCTTGAGGCCGCAGGAATGGGTGTACTTACCTTGCACTCACAGCCCATCTGGTACCTGTGGTTCAGGCTCTTCTTCTGGGTGGTGCTCAGGGTGTCCCATGGCACGATGAAGTCACAGAGGGTGATGTGCATCTTGCCATCCCCCTCGGCCTTTCCTGTGGAGAGACAGGGTCCACCAAGCTCAGGCTGAGTACTGGGTTCTCTTCCTCCACCCACTTCTGACATCCAGACAGGACTTAAGGGTGCTGAGACTTAGTTCTGACAATATTATAGGTTGTTGTGCCGTGAGTTTTGAAATAAATGCATGCTTACTGTAGAAAACTCGGAAAATGCAAGAACTGAGTTGGGTGTAGTGGTGCACGCCTGTAATCCCAGCTTCCCACTCTGGGAAGCTGAGGCAAGAGATCACAAGTTCAAGCCCAGCCTGGGCAGTTTAGCAACTTAGCAAGAACCTGTCTCAAAAAAAAAAAAAAAAAAGGCAGGAATGTAGCTCAGTGTGAAGGCCCTGGGTTCAATGCCCAGTACTGGGGGAAGAAAAAAAAAGGGAGTGAAAATGCAAGAAACAGTTTTTAAAAGCTTCCTGTTTTTGGTACCAGGAATCGAACCCAGGAAATCTTTCTCATTTTTGTAATCTGCTCCCTTGATTCTGCTATCTACACTTTCCCAGGCAAGGTCGCACACAAAAAAAGAGCATGTGGTATGTAGGTCATTCTGCTTCCTGTTTTTTCACCAAATAATATTTAGTCACCGGCATTCCTCCCATTTGATGTTGACCCCGCAAGCCTGCATTTTTCTAGTATGACTAGCCAACACATGGAATTTTTTTAGTCACTAATTGGTTCTAAATTCCCTTCGCTGGGCACAAGGGGGCGCTCTCCTGGAGGCTCCCGAGTCCACTGGTGAAGACGTCACACTGGTGACAACCCCAGCCAGCATTAGCCACGCGGGAGAAAAGAATGAACAAGCATATTACAGTCAGTGACAGACTCTTAGGGCAGCTATGGCGGTGACTTCAAAACTCATCCCTTCTGCTACCCCGGCACCTTGTGAAGAGACACACACGCCCAGGGATAAGGGATCAGTGCCAGAGTCCTGGGGAGGCACCGGGGTCCGGGCCATACCCAAGGGCCTCTGCTTGACCAAATCCCACTCCATCCACTTACAGACCTCAGACACCGCGCTGGCCGTGGACAATCCACTAGTAGAAATGTAGCTCACTCAAGGAACAATGCAGTTGGTTGGGACCGGCTGCTGTGGGGAGCCCGGCTGGGCTGGCCAAGGCTTTCGTGGGGTGCCAGGCATGCTGCTTCTGTGGCACAGCCTCCCTGGGTATGAATTCTTATCCTCCTGCCTCAGTGTTAGCTGCTCCTCACCTCGTAGGCTTGGGAGCTCAACTGTCCCACTAGAGTGGCATTCATTCTGAATCCTAAAACTTAGAGATGAGTGTTCGTGTGGCCTTAAACACTTCAAACATAGATGCTTGACCTTTCCCCTGAGACTTGTGGCCATTTTCTGTGAGTTCAGAGGAGATAAGAAAAGAGCAAAATAGTGAGGTGGCAATGCATTCCCACCCCGGTTTCTTCTGGCATTTACCACCTGAACCAGTAGACTGCAGCCCTGTCCTGCCTGGCCCGGCCATCACTGTGGTACATAGGCAGAGTTTCTATTCTGGCTCCATCACCCCAAATTCCATGTTGCTTTCTATTGCACCCCATGCCTAGCATTAATATGCTTCCTTAACCAAGTCGTAAGCATGAAGGGTAAGGGCTTGCTCTTTTTTTTGTATCCATGGTTCCTTGCCCATAGTAATTGCTCAATAAAATCTACAGACACTATACATTGTTCTAATAATTTTCTACCTATTCTGTCTTTTTCTGCTATGACTCTTTTTGGTTTTTTAACACCAATTTAAGCTTCCACAGAGGTTGACAAAGGCAGAGAGTGGAGTTGAAATGCAAACTATCTTTTCAAGGGCCCTAGTTACTGAGCTAATAGGAACTTCTGATGTCATGGATGAATGGTGTAGCATCTCTGAATGTTACAAGAAGACCCCCCATAGCCAGGCATGGTGGCGCACGCCTGTAATCCAAGCACTCAGGAGGCTGATGCAGAAGGATTGCCCCAAGTTCATTTGAGGCCAGCCTGGGCTACGTAGTGAGTTCAGGGCCAGCCTGAACTACAAAGCGACACCTTGTCTCAAAAACAACAAAAACAAACAAAAAGATCACCATTAGTATAGTTAAGACTTAGTTAAGCTTCATGGCATGAAGATTTGTTGCAACATTCTACTTATGTCTCTCTTGGAAAAAAGACGAAGCCTGAGTCTTGGATACAGAAAAACAGGAATGAATTAAAATGTGTAACCAAGGATTGTATGTTTACTTTTCCTTTTGGAGAAGAGGACCATAGAAGAAAATTACAGGGCCGATCCTATAAGAGTTCCCGAGCACGCTCTCATAGTGCCCAGCGCAACATGTGAAGCTGAGTCACTGGCCCAGAGGGGGTGGGCGCCGGCTGGCAGCGTGGCTCACCACGTCCCAGGATCGCTGCCGGCCTGGCTAACTCACCCAATGCCAGAGAGCAGGAAGTAGGGCTGTGCCTCGGGAAGGAAAGGCCAGAGACAATGTGGAGTCACCTGACCGAGCCTGGGAAAAAGTGGGATCAGCAAGGCTCCTGGGGTGATGGGGGCCCGCCACTGCCCCCCCCCCCAGGAGGATGGAGCAGGGAGCCCTGTGGGCAGGCGTGTTGTTGTCACGTGTCTCAAGGAAGGGTCACCAAGTGGGGAAGAGACCCTGCCTGTCTTAGGCGCACTCCTGTCCAAGTCCTTCGAGGGTCCTTCCCCAGACCAAGCTTCCTCCCTGTCTCTCATAGTCGCTGCTACCTCTCATTTAAGGAACAAAACTACTAGCTGCCCTCAAGTGAATCCGGACCCAGGTCAAGCCCGGCACCTCTGTGAGGTGCACGTTCATCCTCACAGCAAGCTCAGGGGCAGGCATGGGAGGACCAACAGGCCAACTCACTTGGCCAAGAAGACAGGTCCAGATGGACACAGGTGTGTTTCTGGAGCCTGCACCTGGGCATCTCCCTGGGCTGCCCCCATCCCATCTGTTCTCTTCATACAGGGGTCACCACTTGGCACCTTCTGTGCTGCAGCATCATGGGGACCTCAGAGTGCTCTTTTGAGATACTAAGTAGTTGGAAAGTGAATGAAATTGTTAACAATATGAAATCACACCTAGAATTCAATGGGAGGGGGTTGCATTTTTTGACAACTTAAAAATGCATGCACATAAAGAGGAAAGGGAGTCCAACATAGAGTACAACATGGATGAACTTGAGGACATTATGCTCAGTAAAACAAGCCAGATACAGGCTGGGGATTTAGCTCAGTGGTTTCGCCGCCTGCTGCGCAAGCGCAAAGACCCAAGTTCGATCCCTGGTACCAAAAAAAAATAAAAAATAAAGTAAGCCAGGCACAAAAGGATGCGTGCTTCACTTGTAGGAGGTCCCTGGAATAGGCAAGTTCACAGAGACAGAAAGTAGAACTGCGGTGCCAGCAGCCAGGGAAGGGAGGAGTGGGGAGGTAGTGTTTAACTGGGACAGTTTCAGATTGGGAGGATGAAAAAGCCCTGGAAATGGACAGTGACAGTTACATGACACCGTGAATGTACCTAACCTTCTATTCACAGAAACGAGCACAACAATAAATTTTATGTTACACGCACATATACTGCAATTTAAAGACCCATATGCAATACATTTACAGGTAAGACCTTTTCCCAATCTTATGTCTCACAGGCGGTGAAGAGACTAAAATGTACTTCCTGTGACTTGCTTGGTTCCAGTAGGAGACGTGCAATAGTCCCAGACAACAGGCACATGGTTACCAAGCGGCTGTTCCTTCAGACGCCTTCAATCTCTATTGTTTGTGGAGCTGTAGTCCAGACGGCTTGGGTTTTAGCACGCCTACACAATGTGCGCTGTGCGACCTCACACTGTCTTCCTGCTGAGACTGGGGACAGTGTCATGGGCCTGTGCAGAAACCGTGCAGGACACACAGCATCCATGTGAAGGAGCAAAGCGGTGACGTCCGCACACAGCACTGAAGTGATTCAGCTTTCTGACTGACTCACGAGGCTGGCTTCATTTGGACACTGAAAGCTCACTCTTGCGAAAACAGGCTGAACAAGGCGGGTTTTCCTATCACATCCCTCAAATAAGTCAGAGTGACCATCGGTGACAATCACGGGGCCGGTGTCCTGTACACCTCTGCCCGCCCTCACGCTGGACGGTCTCTCCTGCAGCTTCCTCGCTCTCAGAGAACGTGAGATGGGGCGAGAGCACTAGCCACATACACCACAGAGCCACTGTGTGTCAGGGCTGCTGGCTGCTGTGGCACAACCCAGCTAAGGGCTGCTCCTCAGGACCTTCACAGGGCCCTGCAGGCTGGACCGCCTGTCTCATGGACGAGGGGACAGTACCCTGGGGCTCAGGATCTGCAATGAAGAGCAGAGCTGGCTGACCACAAAGGCCCCAGGAGATGAAAATAGTGTCCGGAAGGCCCCTTTGCAGGGCAGGTGTCTGTCCTCTGCGGCCTAGGCACACCCTGTGGAGTATGTGCTGCTGAGCAGCTCGAAACTCTGGCAGGAGGCTCTGCCTCTGCATCGGAGGAGGGAAAGTTCTGGTCAGACACTGGTTCTCCGCCCTGGCTGCATGCTGGACCCTCCGGGGCTGGCTGAGCAGGCCTGGGGGCAGGCTGGGTGTCCCCGTGGGCAGTGGAAGGGGAGCACCCTGCTGAGATGTGGGACAGCAACAGGATGTGCTGATCAGGAGCTGAGCCCCACAGGCAGAGATGGGGGCGGGCCATACCTGCCCAGGTAGTGACACTGCTGAGCAGAGCTGAGAAATGTCTCACACCGGCTCCAGTGTGGAGCATTTGCTAATTTACATGGTGGAAATGTTCCCACCCTGGCCAATTTCAAGCTGCCAACATGACATCAACCAGCTCGTGCAACTAAAAATGTCACCATTGGCCCCGTGGAGCAGGTGTAAGCCGACCCCATGCAAGTGTCTGCTCTACCTCAGCTGCTCTACCTCAGCTTCCCTCACTTGTAAAATGAGGTCACAGCAGCACCTTTACCACAGGGGATTAAATGGAATCTGCATGGAAGGCATTTGGAGCACAGCCACCTCTTGTCAGAGCCCAGAGAAGGAAAAGGGAGGTGGAAGGGCCAGGCAGAGAGGCTCCACAGCCAACAGCCTCGGCCTGACCAAGGACTCAGCAGGGCACACTGGGAGACAGACCCTGGCCTAGACCTGGGTCACTGCTGACAGCGAGCCTCCCCTCCTGTGGTAGTTAGGAGCATGGGCAGTGCTGCAGCCCGGCCAGGCCACCTCTAGAGGGCAGTGTGAGGCACTTGCACCATAGGGACTAGGAGAGAGAATGGGAAGCCCTGGAGCTGTTCTGGCCGTAAGTTCCCTGGGCCCTGAGGCTTTCCCACAGCCAAGTCTTCCCTCCAATCACCTGCAATGAGATACTCCTTCTTCCCTCCAACATCCAGTGAGACCCCGCACACTGCCGAGGAGGGGGCCGTGTAGATAAACTCTATGTCTTTCTCAGGTCCTTTGAACATCTGGAAAGACAAAGATGGGGTCAGTAAAGACAGGCTGCAGAGCCAGCGAATTCTGGCCCACCAGGAACTCGGGTGGCCCCGCCTGCACCAGGTACAGCCCGCGGAGGAGAGGCAGAAAGGTGCAGTGGACAGATCAGGGGCCAGTGTTCTCTGCAGCCACTGTCTACTTCCAAGGCGGCTCCCATCAGGTGGCCACAACACCCGCCTGAAAGAACTTTTTCAGACACCCCCTTGAAGTCATTCCAGCATCTCTGGGGAGACCCTGAGGATCCTCGGGAGGCTGGCACATGGTGGAGGACAACAGTCTTTCTAAAAGTCCAGGAAGTGGGTCGTTTTTGGCTTGTTTCTGAAGCTGAGGATTGAACCCAGTGGCCTCGTGCCCACTGAGCTATGCCCCCAGCCCTGCTGCCAGGAAGTCTGATGGAACATGGCTATCTGATGGGGACAAGAACAGAGAAGCACCTCTGGAGTCCGGATGTAACCCAAAGGCAAGGGGTTTGATTTTTCAACGTCTGATCTGTTGGCAGCCCTTTAGGAACACACCTGCTGCTCAGGTGAAGGGCGGCCTTTCCCCAGCACTGTGGGAGGGGCTTTTCTTTGCAGTGCTGGGGATCCAGCCATGGCCTCTACCTCCAATGCACACTCCCAGCCTTGGCGAGCTTTAGTAAACAAACCCAGATGGACTGGTACCATTCCCAACGTCATGACAAACCAGCTTTCCAAGAGCTACCCTGCAGCGCACAGCAAGAAAGGTCATGAGGCTGTAGCAATGTTAACCTGTGGTGTTAAATGACATTGTTGTCCCAAGGGCCACAGGCACTGCTTTGGTGTCTAACACCCATGATGAGGTCATAAGAGCAGATTTTCTTTCCTGTTTCATAAATAAAAAGACCTAAGCACTGAGAGACTAGGTCATCTTCTTTAAGTGATATATGTAAAGACTAAGCATTCCATTGGCCTTCTGATAAAATTTATTTTCTAGGCTGGGCATGGTGGCCCGAGCTGATAGTCCCAGCCCTCTGGGAGGCTGAGGCAGGAGGATTGCAAGTTTGAGCCTAGCCTGGGCAACTTAGTGACTCAAAATTTTAAAAATAAAAAAGGGCTGGTATGTAGCTCAGTGTAAAGGCCTTGTGTTCAAGCCCCAATGCCACAGAAGGGTTTTTTTTCCCCCTAACATTTATTATTTTTTGTAACAAAATTCAACACATGGCCAGGAACGTAGCTCAGCAGCACAGTGCCTGCCTGGCAAGCATGAGGCCCTGAGTTCGATTCCAGGTACCCCCCCCAAAAAAATTCAGCACAAATAGCTACACTACCACTGTGCTGCATAGCTGCTCCTGCCCCTGCAGCCAGGGATCATCATCTTTCTCGAAGACCAAGAGAGGTACAATCAGCAGCAATAGCATCCAGGCTTCTGCTCTCTCACTCTCTCTCTTACCTGGGTTTCTGCCCATGGACATGGACAATGTCCCGGGCCTGCAGGCTCCTGACTTGGGCCCCGTCCAGCCTGACAAGCAGCCATCTGCTCAGGCCAGCCCCATTACAGTGGTCAGGAAGCTGCCCCTAACTACATCTGGCCACAGGGGTCTTCCTTCTCCAAATCCCTCTTCCTCGAGAAACCAGAAGCAAACCCGACCAGCCTGGCTACACATGCAGTGGGGCGCTTAGTTCTCATTCCCTCACGACAGGTGGAGCCTCCCAGAGGCAAAGACTATGCCCTACTAATAGCCAAGACCCCCAGCTCAGCCACAGACACAGTGGACCTCGGGGACACAGCCAGATGCTGTACCACCGATCTGCCATCCATCAAAATAAACATTTTTCTGAAAGAAAAATTGAAGTCACCGAGAATATACTGTTTCCTCCCAGTGATCCAGGCATTTATAGGCTAAGGAGAATGGGACCTGGTCCTGGCCTCACAACCTTAGTTTTTGCTGCATAGTGTTGCGCTGCTGCGTAGATTGAGTTAAGGAGACGCAGGCCTGGGCCGAAATCCGCTCAACCCCATGATGCTGCCAGGCCTTGTTACCTTTATCTGCTTGATCTCATACTGAATCCTCTTGATGGGATTGCCATAGATGTCGTTCCCGGAGTCCACCTCCTTCTCACTGACCGCTTTGGCCCTGATCACTGCAAAACACAAAGACACAGAGTTGAGGAAAGTTCTCAGATGATCATGCAGGATGTGCTAGGGCTGGGGGCCCCTGGGAAAGAAGAGCCCACCCCTCACCTCAGCTGTAACAAGGACCAGATGACCCTGACTCCATGAGCTCAGACAGGAGGTGCAAAGGCCTCCCCTCCATCATCCCTGGTTCTCCAGTGAGAATTCTTGATTCCCAGAGCCAAAAACAGGGGCTCCGAGCCATCCTGTGAGGCCAGGCTGCTCCCCAGGAGCAGGACACAGCCACTGATGTAACGTGGAAGCTGTTTGCTGACTGCATGCTTCAGGGCTCGTTTTCATTCCCGCTGAAGTGTATTTGTTGGTGTGTGGGGCAGCAGAGGAACCAATGACCTGGTCTTCAACCCTGCTCTTCAGGTAGGCATGGGGACGTTCCCACCACCCTCATCCATACAGTACTGGCAAACAGGCTTACTTATGAGAGGCAGGACAGAGACGGGTCAGAGTGTCGTAACTCATAGGGCACACATTGGGTTAAGAAATCCTGCAGGCAAGGCTGGCAAAGCCATGGGACAGATGCCGAGGAAGGAGGTCAGACAGAAAGAGCCTCCTGGACCACAAGCAGAGATGAGGGGTGGGAGAAGGGCTGGGAGGGTCCAAAATGTTCTGGAGCCAGAGGCTGCTGATGGGTCACGCCCCACAGGCTTTCCATAAGTCATTAAGCTAGGACTCTGATCTCTCCTTGGTATCCTGACAAGGAGGGTCAGTAGTTCATGTCATGAGGGCAGGGTCCGCCTCTCTTCCCTTTGAGGCCATGGCTGGTGGCATGGCCTGCATTAATGGCTTTAAAAGCTTTGCCTTCCCAAGTGAGCATGTGCTCATCCTGGGCACATTTTGTGCAAGCCAGAGTGGTAAGGAGCAAGGAGATCTAGCACGTGGGAGCCCCTTCTGCTCCATCCTTCCGACCCCAGAAATGTGCTCTGAATCCCAGCCTCTCCCGAGTCCCACACCACACTGGGGGCCCCACACGGGCCCAGGCTCCCCATTTCTTCTTTGAGTAGAGCTGAGTCACTCTGGCCCAGGCTGCAGGCTCCTGTTTCCCAGGCCAGGCCAGGCCTGGCCTCCCCCTGAAAGCCACATATGGGGAAAGCCACCCGGTAGACCATCCCAGATCTATCTTTGTGCCCCTGAGTCCCCCACCACTCTTATCATCCACTGCTACCAGTTGTCTTTTTACAGTCATGTTCCTTCCAACTCAAACACTTTCCTTGGCTACCTACTGCTTTTGCCTAAATTAGGAGACCCTTTGCAACCCAGTGCCAGCCAATTACCTGGGCTGTCCCTGCCCAACAAGCCCTACCCAGTTCTTGCTATTTTCCCAACACCAAGCCTACTCTTCCCCAACATGCCCAAGGGTTTCTTCTGCCCCAAATGCTACCTCCCTCTCTCTGTCCAGAGAACTTTTATTTCATCCTTCAAGACCAAGCAAAAATAGCCCTTTCCTACCCTTTTTGGGGGAAAGTCTGTCCTCTAGCCGCACTTGGGATATTCCTCATGTCTCGTCCATTCTGCTGCAAACACCTGTACATGTGTCTGCCCAGGGCTGCAGGAGGTCCTAACAGGCAAAAGCCACATTCCAGCTGTGGAATAGCAGTGCTCAGCTTAACGTCTGCCCGATGAACAGGACCGGGCCTGACAGCCTCAACCTTGGGGCCCAGGTGAAGTTTGTCACTGGTCCCTGTTACTATGTACCTAATTAATCTACATGTCTTATTGCAATGCTGCACAAAAACATGTTTATGCAAATCGGTAAGCAGGCCAGATGACCTCTGCCCACACAGTAATCCATGCAAGAACAAACCAGCCGAGGCCAAATGGAGCCAATCCACCTGATTCTTGATGCCTTTGGGAACCTTCTGGAACTGCTTTCCTGTGGCCCACACATTACACAATGCTTAATGCATAAAGGTGCACAATAAACACGCCACTGGCAATCAGAAAATAAGCCAAACTCACTCTGAAACAACCAAAAGGTCACATTATCACGTATCCACTGTTTTCTCACAAGATGCTCCCATGCGAGTCTAAGTCCTTATTTGAGAGATGTTTCAGGGTTGACTCCTCATTAGCCACTTTCCAGCTGTGCGATCTCAGACCGCAGAGAGAACAGGGCCAATTTCTCCCATTCCTGCAGGTGAGGGATCCGCAAAGCAGAGTCCTGCTGCCTATGTACAGAGGGACATGGTCTTGACCTTGTGCCAAATGGACTCCCAGGGCCCGGGCTGGGTCAGCTTGCTAGCCAGCTTGTCTGCTTTGAGGCGGGCTGTAGATCACTGTCTTTCCTTTTTTAAATTGTCAGGAAAGAAGACACCGGTTGAGTGGAGGGTCAAGGGCAGACTTGTGAGTTGAGACTAGAAAGTTAACTACCAGAGGCTGCCAGATGCTTGCAGGAAAGTAGAGGAGGGACAGGAGATGCAGATATTGGAAAAATCTCCATCTTCTAACTGAGCTGCTTTCATCTGTCCACAGAGACCCAGAATTCATTCTTTGGAATCTCTGAATTCTGGGAGGGACCTTGGCCCCCTTTACCAAACAAAAGATTATGAAGCAAAGAAGAGGATCAAAAGAGGCAAAGAAGAAGCCAGGCACGGTGGTGCACACCTGTAATCACAGCACTCTAGGAGGCTGACAAGGAGGAACGCTAGTTCAATCCCAGCCTGGGCAACTTAGCAAGATTGTGTCTCAAAATAAAAAAGGGGCTAGAATGTAGCTCAGTGCAGAAGCCCTGGGTTCAACTCTCAGGACCACAAGGGGGGAAAAAAGAGGCAAAGAAGAATCAGCTCTGTGAAAATCTCCCCCAAAGCAAGCACTGACACACACCCTCCCCGACACAGACGAGCCAAGAGGCTGGGCTGACGCTCAGTGTGTCAGGCACCTGGGTCTGTCTGCGCTGCTCCCTGAAGGAGCCGAAGGTGGAGACAGGCCTGGTGCAGATGTGCCCTACAAAGGGCTTCAGCAACAGACCTGGCTTTGGAGGGGCATTCAATCCAGGCAGAGGGTGGACAGACAGACAGACAGGAGGAGAAGCCCAGTTTCTCTTGACAAGGAGGGAAGGTGGCAGAGCTCTCTAGACCACATGGCATGTGCATGGCAATGGTCACCACTGAGAGCTCCAGCATGGATCCCAGGCTGTAGAGGGAAGGAAGTCCTCTCTGAGTCCCAGTTCATTTGAAGAACAGGGCTGGGGAAGCATAAAGGGACGCAAAGAGTCTGGAGAGAATTAAAACCAGGTCAGGGACACGTGCCGACTAGGCACCTACTGGGCCTGCTGTCAGGCGCCAGGCTGGAGTCAGCCCACGTCCTGTCCACGCCCCTCGAGGGGGCCGCCCTGTTCCCTCCCCCACTCAAGGAACAGGAGGCGGCCCGGGAGGGGAAATCTCTGTAAAGACTTGTGTTCCAACTGCTTTGTGCCCCAAAACCGTGGCCTCCCCCTGAGTGGCTCAGATTTTGCTTTTTTTTTTCTTCTTTCCCCTCTGCTGTTAACACAACATCTGGGTTTCAGATCGAGGGCGATACACTGGCTGATGAATTCCCTGCCAGATGCTGGCTACTGGAATGCACAGCCATCGACTAAATTCAAAGTGCACACAACCACAAAGCCCTGCCCCCTCCTGCGGGCTGAGGACACCACATGATGTCACTTCCCCCTTTGAGGAGCCTGCAAAAACAATCCCGCTGTACCCAGCCAGAACGGGGATGAAAATGAACCGAACCGGGTGGGGGAAAGGCAAGGTCACAGAAGCCGATCCAGCTCTGAGAATCACAACTGCCCAGGAAAATTAACAGAGCCTGGGACCTTCCCGCTTTTGTCCTTGGAGGGGGCTGCTACTGGGAGCCCTAGTGCCATCAGCACATGCTGTGGCCCAGGGCCCACCGGGAGACAAAGCATGCACAATGCATTCCAACTCCTGCTGTTCTCCTTAAGGATCCCACCACTAACCCATGGCCCGCTGTGTTCTCAGAAGCACACCAATACCTCGGGTCCAACTGTGTCTGCAGAAGCCCAATGGAAATTCCTGGGAAAATAAAACAAGTCCCACCTGGGATCTGTGGAGCATGTCCAGATCTCTCTATACCTTGCTGCACTGCCCCCCTACACCCTGCGTGTAACCAAACCCCATGGGAGTTTCCACTTGGGCCACTCTGCCAGCCCAGGAGCACAGGGGAACCTGGGGGTGTTAGACCTGACATCTACCCACCCATGTCCTCATCCTAGTGGGCTCCAGGCTGATCCTGTGGCCCCAGCCCCTCAAAACAAGGCAAGAGCACCCCCAGGACTCAGAAATACTCTGTCTTGTGTGTGTAATGAATGAGGTGGGAGGATCTGCTCCAGGTCACCAGAGGGCACTGCCCCAGCCCGTCTGTCTGTCCTCTCCCGCAGGCTGCAGCTGCACCCTGGGAGGGGGACCCGCAGGTCCATCTCCCGGGGAAAACATCTGCTGCTTCATCTGCTCACGTGCCCCCACTCAGGGTGGGATGGGGGCCTGCAATGTCTCAGTACACTTGCCGAAGACCTACCGACCAGCAGTGGCTGTGGCTGGGCTGGGGCCAGCCCTGCAGGCCTAACTGCAAACATCCTCCCAAGGCCGGGGAGCCCATTTCCTTGTCCCTGGGTAGAGCTCCCATGCAGACCATTTTGAAAGAACTGAAAAAGAAACAATGCTCTCTCCCAGAGGAAACCCAGCCCCTTCCCCTCCTGGTGAGCATCCTGTGGCCTTCATGGAGGTGCTGGGCATCGACAGGTGGTGTACCTGGTAGGGGGACTGTAAGGTCCCAGACACTTTGTCTAACCTCTGCAGACAAGGTGGTTCCATGTGGCTTGCCATTATACCCTCAAATCACACACAGGTAGCAGGGTCCCGTTACCATCTATAGCTAGGCCTCGTGGCACCCACTTGGGATTGTGTTTGCTTCCGTCAGTGGGACAGGCTGAGCTTGCCAGCTGGAGCGG